TGTGAAGGTAGAGACCAGATTGCGTTGATATTGGGCTGCTGCAAAGTCTGGTCTCATGGCCTGATGAACAGGGGTAATAATAGCGAAGCGCTTTGAGACCTTTGGTGTAAAGCGCCAAGTAAGCACCACATTATTAAAAGCTCTTTTTAAGGATTTATATTTGAATGTTTTCTTGTTGATTGGCTTGGTCGGAGGAGAGGGCATTTAATCTTGAATGATGGTTAAATCCGAGGGATTTCTGGATATTTCTGGATATTTCTGGATTGTGCGAATTTCGCCATTCTGTTTTGATTAGTTGTTTTATGGAATTCTTGCGTCTAGGAGATGTAAATTGCAGAGTGGGTTTCGCGCTTCAGAAACGTAATGTCATTTAAACACTGTATACTCAGTGTTGTCCAAGGGTTTGTGATACAAAAATTTTATAAGCTCTACATATGTACCGTACAATGTATTTGGTTGGCCCCAAGTTAGTTTATGAATTGCTTTCCACCTTTCTCATAGGCCCTCAGAAAACACTGAGTATATATTGTTTATGAAATAACGTTGGTGAAGGCATTATAACCCAGTAGGCCTATTGAATTCAGTTTCGATTTTTGTTTCGTTTTCTTTCATTCTACATGTACAATTGTATGTACTTCTACCCTTTTCAATTCATGAGTCGATAAATACTTTTAAAAGCCAGACTGCCGCAAGCCCATTCAAGAACAGGGCCGTCATTAATGTATGTCAAAATCTTTATCTGGAGCATGTCTGGGCTCGTAACCCTATTTGGTGTACTGGTCACGTGCACTGGATCCCTCAGGATCAGTCCACCCTTTAACCTGGTTTCCGCATCCCCCTCCCCCCCCCCCCCATCCATCCATACAGTGGGTGACGCGCCGCACGCCAGACGACCCCGTGACATACTTTTGTGAATGTTATTTTCAGACTATGCCAACAGGATCAGCCTGGTTTTGCGAGCAAGCAAGCCGCAAGCCTCGCTGCATGGCTCGAGATTGTCTGGCAGTATTATTGATAAGGGTACTTAATGTCCTGCTTGTCCAATTGGGGAAAAGCAGGTGCCAGTCGCAGCGATAGCTCATGCAAATTGGTGCACTCTATAGGGAGTCCTGTGCAATGGTTTGCCCGCTGGTGTTGGTTGCCCTCTTTACATGCTTTGTGTACGTGCAAACTTTTGTCCAGCATTTGTTTTCCTGGTTACCTGCTCGCAGGTCATTTATTGGGTTGACTGCGGGAGGTTACCAATGCTAGGCGATTTGTCTGTCTGAGTGTCTCCATACATTTGGACATTTGTACCAGTACATGTATGTACAAATATATACATTGTACATGTACTTTATACAGTGTATACATTTACATGCCTACATTTACATGCAGGACTCTCCTCAACTTCTATGTATTATTTATGAAACAAAGTACCGGTAGTATGTAATCATGTCCAAGATAAGTAATTTTGGAATGTTGGATATGAGAACAAACATCATAACAGAACATGCCCTTAGAAAATATAGAAAATACGATGAAAATAATATCTTTCACAATATGGCACTGAGGTTGATTACTTTTTGTGTATGATTGTACATGTACACGCACAGTAAATACATGTGTGGAAGCCTACACATTTTGCATTCGGGTTCAATGCGGAGATTTTAGGAACACCTTTCACACTGGTCAGCAAGAATCCAAGGGACAATGTCCATACTGGGTCACCATTTTATCTGCCGCCAAACATATCCATTTTCACCTCACATTGTGATTTCAACCAAGAGGAATCCAGGAAGCTGTGTAAATGCGAAAAAAATCAGGCAAAATGTGTTTTTAGAGCCCATTTTGGATGCACACGTCGCGCAGAACTAAGTTGAAGCAGCCGGTCAAAACTGATTGAAGTGGCTGGAAGACAGGGGTACGTTGTACGCATGACATCGACTACCATGGCGTCGCATGAGCCGGCCAATGATAGTGCAATACGTCATTATGAATATTTATTTTTTCATGAATATTTAGTTTATTTCAATGGCTACTTCAAAGACGTCCAAAGATTGATTATTGCAACAGCGATCGTGCGCGGCCTAGCGGTTAATAAGAGTCTCGTGTTTCAAGCAAGAGTCCGAGGTTCGAATCTCGATAAAGTAAGTGACTGATAATAATAAATAGAAATAAAGGAAAGGAGAGGGTGAGACTAAGTAGAGGAGGGAAAGTGGAGGGAATAACCATAAAGGATGCAATTTTTGGCGCTTGAAAATTAATTGGAAAAAAGTGGTGATCCAGTATGGAATTTTTTCCGAATCCAACACTGGTCCGGGTCCAATCTACACGGGTCCGGCGCTCTACATCCGTGGGTAGAAATCCAACCCTGGTCTGGACCAGGGTTAATTGTGAGAAGCTCTACCCGGGAAGAAAATCCAATAGGCTATACAGCCGAGCCGACCCAAGTTCAACCCAGTGTAGTGTTAACGGTACAAGTATGTCTTACCTTGCCTACCGGTACCTGTGTTGGATGAACCATGTTTTGCTTGCAGTGGACCCATGTTGATTTCAATAGGCAAGATAGGCATGACCACAGTGTGAAAAGGCGATAGAGTAAATGCTGTTTGCAGGCACCCCAAATGACAGATCATACATGTAAATGTACACTTTCTGCACAATTCATCAGTTCGAAGTGCTTCAACTGTATGATTTGCTCTTAAAGTAAGTGTACACATACATGTACACGTACACGATATGTGAAGTGAACATTGCATCAATTGCACTATATTTGTTTGTTGGACAAATGTTAATTGATGAGTAAATAAATAAACAACTTCATAGGAGCATGTATTTTTATCTACCTTTTCAGGAGGTGTACATGTGTATGTATGCATGAACACTTTTTACTTCACAAAATTCTCAATCTTTTTATTTGTGCCCTGCGCGCTGTTCTCAAGTGCCGAGTGCGTACATGTTGTCCTCGCAGTGTCAATTCTCTTATTCTGGTTCAATAAAGCCATATTGATCTGTGCGGATGAACACCGCTATCTAAATGGCAAAACACGAAGCGTTTGGGCGGCTGGTCAGTCCCCGTAATGCTATTAGCCAGATACGACACAGACATGCTGTCTCCGCAAGATTCCACGCTGCGTCCATCGGCGAATTTTGACACGATCTCTTTGTTATGTGTGAACCGTGAACATGGCATGCATACTGTACGTGTATGAATGCACGTACCGTATGTTGTCTTCACCACTTTTGTCTCTGTAAATGCAAGGCCCTATACATTTACAGTTTATGTGGTCAGAAATTGAGACACATGAAATGGTATTGCATGAAATGAAACACACACAGTGTACAGTGCAAAGAACCTGCAGAAAATTGATTTCATTCACAGAGCAATTCATTGAGCCATTCCTTCTTTACAATCAAGTTTTCAATATTAGGTTTTGCCCTTCACCAACATATAAACGCTGTATCCGTGTTGTACACCCCCCCCCTGATTTTTTCTCACTTTTCCTCGCCGAGTGAAAGTGAGAAAACATAGCTTGGGTGGGACTCGAACCCACGACCTCCTGCTTTCTAGTGCAGACGTCTTAACAGTACTCGACATCAACCCGACGCAAATTCCATCTTAATCTTATGTGAACAATCAAGTTTTATTTCACATTCAACATGAAGATTTCATATTAAAGCCGGAGTCCATCATTTGCAGCTATCCAAAAAAGTAACTGGCGTAATTATTGTTGAAAACATACTTGGTTGAAAGATAGTAAGGGGACTAAACTCCCTGTGAAATTATTCTTTCTGGCAAGCTCTCATTTTGAAGAAATCAACGAAAGAAGGCATTTCCAACGGTGCGTCTTAAGAAGCACCGTAGGAAAATTTAAATTAGTAGTTCGTTTTGTTATTCGGCGCAGCGCGCGCAAGCATTGGCACGACGCACAGGCGCGCGCGGTTGCTATAATTCGTCGGATCAGTGTGCGACATCGCGTAAAGCTGCAATCAAAACAATTCAAAACATGATTTAGCAACTTTTGATTTGAAATTGAGATCCTAGAATGCTGTTTTTCTCGGAATATAGGCCTACAGCTGAAGCTGAGCTGAAACTTCATCAGTTCAGTTGTTCAGTATCCTTCATTAGATTTTGAACAGTTTTGTTGCTTCAAACGAACAAAATGCACAAATTACAAATGATGGACTATGTCTTTAGTTTAAGATGAAATGAAACAAGAACACTTCCACCATTGAAGTAGGCCCATCAGTTGGTTAGCACTCAGCAATGTACTGCTACATGTACATGTACCGATACTGGTATAGTACATGTAATGTATACCTGTACACGTGTATAGTGTACATGTACATGTACCGTACCGGTACATGTACATTGTACATTGTAAACTGACTGCCATAGTGTACACACATGGGTCATTGCACTGGGACACATGTACAATGTACACAGAGCTGTGAATGCCAGACACTCGCTGTCCCTATCGGGACAGAGTGTTACGTAACAGCTCTGACCAGCTTAGCTGGACATTGCCTGTTGATTGGCTGGCTGTGAGCATGAGCAGTGGCTCCTTTATTGCACGTACATGTAGTGCATGATAATCATGTTTGTGTGTGTGTGGGTGGGTGTTTGAAGTGAGTGTGCATGTACTTTTAAGAAAGGGGTTGTACAGTATGCATCATAGTGAAGGGGTGAAATATAATAGTAAGGGGTGTCTACTTTAGTGGAGAATCAAAAAATAGGAATGTGTAACATACATGTCATATGCACAGACAGTTTTCTAAGACACACATTTTCACTAACTCAAAGTTTTGAAAAGCTGAATTTGCATCCAGATTATCACCCCCTTTTTTTCTTTCTGAATCTAGTGGCCCAGTATTGTTGATGTTTTTGTTGTTGATTTGGTATGCTTCTATTGTTTCTGTTGTTACTGATGAGGGGTGAACAGGGTAAACAGGGTTGTACATGTAAATTAGATTTACCGGTACCTGGAATTTAGTTTTTACTCTGAAAGATGGGTTTACAAATCGATTGATCCACCTTGAACTTTTGAACCATTTGAGGCGGCAGCTTGTGATATAACTGTTGAATAATTCAAGAGCTGAGGATGAGCCAACTGACCAAAAGTAATGCCAACTGCCCACATGTGTTTAGGCACTGTGCTCATTGAAATCTCTGAATGTCCCGCGACCACAGTCATGCGCTGCCAGTGACATCACATGCGGACCAAGGCTACATGAATTAGCAATGAGCTGTTTGCTGGCCAACACGGAGTTGTGTCATCACATCCTGTCATTTGGTGAGACAAAATAGACACCAAACAATCGAAACGTCTCCTCTTTCATTGTTGTGCTGTGGGCGTTGTTGTTGTTGTTGTTGTTGACATTGTGAGGTTGCGGCAGATTCTACAGCGGACTGATGATTTATCACTTGAATGGCAGTCGGTCCGTTGAGAGGTTTCAAGATACTTTTATGAGAGATGATTGACTGAGTGGACACCACGTTGCTGATTGATTGGATTGCCCTTACCGACAACAATGTTTTCAGGAACTCATTATTCTGTGGATGCGAAGGAGCAAGAACACGTAATGGAGAACCATGCATCACCAACCAGCCCTTACTCGTATGTATACTCAGAATGATTTGTCTGTCAATTGGCAGGGTGTGGTGACCAAGTGCTTGAACTTGTTGTATGGTGAAATTGTTGTTGGGGTTCACTGCAATAGCCACCATTATGACCTTGTTCGTACACTGTGTTGTGTAACTAGTCAGAAATGTACAGGTACCGGGTACATGTGTATGTATGTACAAATGTATGTACACGTACATGTACATGTATGTACAGTATGTACTCAGGAAGTTCCCTTAATGTAAAAGTACCATTTTTGTCTATGTATCCACTACCGGTGCCGGAACATGTACACGTATACTGTGCCGGTGGAAGGCTATTTTAATAACTCTTTCACAAAAGTTGATATTCAGTACACGTGCACATGTGCTGGGGAAAAGTGACAATGATTTGGAGTTTCACTTGAACCGTTTTCTTGTCACATATTTGTGCAAAACTTGTTTCTGGTAGTAATGGGCATGGATTTGTGTTGGGGGTTATTGCAATATTCACCAAGTTCTGATAACTTCATTATTTGGAGGGCACAAAGTTTTTTCTTTGAAAGTTTTGGGAATAATTTCTTTCACACATATTTTAAAACATGCACAAAATCATGAAATTTACACACATGTAGCCATACCATGTATTTTTATGTTTGATGAGGAAAGTAAACTTTGCAGTCATTAGGGTTTGTTTGATGCATATTTTTTTGGCCATTTGGATGCCAGATGTCGGGAATAAAGCTTGGTCAGTCATCCTGTGCCTGACCAAAGATGTACGGGTATGTACAATCATGGAGGTGGTACAATGTACCAGTAAATTGTATAAAGTTGGCAGCTTGCATTAATTGTGGTCACAGTGGTGGCCAAGTAGATTGATGTAATTGATTGTAACTATTTTCATTATGTTTTACTGGCATTGAAAGCTTTACAAATCAGGAAAATAATCTTGAACTGTCAAGAAGTTCTCAGGAAATGTAATTTATTCAATTTTACCGGTACATTCAACTTTCAATGTACATACCGGTACATGTACACGACTACTAAATGAAACGATTACAGGACTTTCTATTATTGGCTTAAAGAGGTTGTGGAATGCTCGAAGACATTTCCGTCATTTTTCGGGTATATGTAGCCTAGGGTGTGATGAAATAAAAATGACTATTGTTTCTGTCATGAAATGAATACAAAAGGTACTTTTGAGAGCTTTTTTTCAGGTCCTTTTTCGACCCGAACGTGCAATTTGTGTAAAAGTCGTTGTTTGGGGCAGCAAACAAAACATAGTAAATCGTGACGTAATAAACAGGACTCCCGATGCAGCGTAGTTCCAGCGAAACTTTTTGCAAATCACTCCGCGCAACGACATGACTTTGTTTACAATTACACTGAGCGACATTTTGTATGGGCAGCCACATGCTCCATATTCAACCGTAGTTGGCAACAGCTTTTACCCCCGAAATTCTAATGGGCAAATTCAGAATTTAATAGGAGGATATCTCCATTGACTTTTTGGTACTTTCTATTGATTATTCAGTGTTTTGATAGATACACATCATTTTATTTATAGATCGGGGATCATTCTTTTGTGTTTGCCCCAACGGCCAACCATAGTAAGAAATGTCTGCGTTACATCAACATCGTTCGATCGGCGCTATAGGATCTTTGGTTCACATGCACATCGCATCACCGTGACACGCGCTATGTAAAGCTGGCTGGAAATTCACGGGTGTACTGTGCCGCTGGCCCGGCCGTTGGGACCGTAGATTTTGACACCAGTAAACAGTGTTGGAATTTCAAAATAATTCGTTGTTGATACGTGTACGGGTAGCGAATGCACTAGGCCAAGGCAAACCTATATGCCTATAATTGTGTCAGTCGCTTGCTGTAGTCACATGTTGTTTGCAATAAATTTCCAGCTTTCCCGTCCGGGTGTCAGCATGGAGGAATAAGAATCCTCCGTAGCCATGCAGTTTGTCCGAAGGGTACCGTGCGAAAACACGAGATCGGATTTCAGCCAAATTAACGGATAGAGCGCTGATCATGCACTGTACATTTTGTACGGCAAGAGTCTTCTTTTCTCAAGAGATTTGTTGAAATTGGACAAGAAATAATAGAGATATGATTTGTTAATGATTTATAGGGAAGACTGTTTTGGACCATTTGTCCATTGCCAATCTTGAAGAACCGTAGACCCGTTCAAATGTATCCTCGACCCTCCATTATCTGCGCAGCATACGCGCACGCGTTGTCACACACAAATTGAAGGTAAATGCGTAGAAAAAGGACAGCGTAGTTTTCCTTACATGTACGTTAGTGCTGATTAATGTGACAGGCCTCACCCTCCATTTTCCCTAGAAGTTTGATCGAATGACAAATTCTCTGCCACTGGAATTTCTTGAATAAAGTCTTAATTAGGTACTGAAAATAATGATAGTGCTCGTTAAATTTCGGGACCAGTGAATTTTGTATTCAACCGGGATCCCGAACATGTCGTAAGTCCAGAGATTTTTGTTTTATGAACGGAGCATGACTATGATTTTGTACTTTTTTATTGTAGCCACGTTTACAGGCCGAGGTGAAGCGGTAGTCTACGGCTTTTTTGGGTAAACAATAAAGTTAACAATTTCAAAATTCAAGTAAATTCGTAATTATCGTTTCAGGATGTTAAAACAAGGGTTAAAATGTACAAGGCAAGAAAAGAGAAGGGGACTAATTTTTTTTGTGGCGAACGTATACATAAAAAGCACCAGGCAACGCAAGGAACTTGACCGGGGCCCGTGACGCTGCTAACCGTTCAACATTAGTTCTGGACACGGTCGACCACATCCACTGCCGTGATGCGTTATGCGTGCTGTACGCGTATAATTCGAAAACAACCTGACGATTTGTCGTCTCTGTGGACTGAATATTCACCAGAATAACGTTTGAGATTGTCTGTAAATCACGAAGAAAGTTGCGGTAGGACTGTTGATGCTCATCTAAAAATGTTATCATGAACATAATACTTTGAGTCCTTGGATAAAACGCAGCTGTTTTTTTCACGCAAACGTCGCAGACCTACCACTCATCAGAGCCGCGTTGCCTGGCGTTTTCAGCTGGCCAGTTGCAGTATCCGTGTTTTCGCTGGTCTCTTTTTCGGGCAGTTGGGGCTCAAATTTATACGGAAGAACAGCTCAGAGGTCACCGTGTCCTTGTTCAATATACTCATCCAAAAATTAAGCAATGGGAAGGAATGTCAATCTCCGCGAGTCTTTTACAAAATGTTGATTTTTCACTGCTTGACTGCGAGTCACACGTGCTGACGGGGCGGGTTGGGCAGCAGTAAACAGTCGTTGTATAAACGAGTCCTGTTTATTACGTCACGCTTTTTCTGATTTTACGAAGTGCCCGACGACTGTTGATTTCAATTATGCGCTCGCCGACCAACAAATTACTCGATGTATTTCAGTTTTATAAACATATAAACGCACATTCTAAAAGAATTAGAGTTTGCCATTATGCTATATATGGGTATATAAAAATATAAAAACGAAACGATTTTCAGCATTCCACAACCTCTTTAAAAATACTATTTTTCAAAGCTCAGAATTTGCCCATAAACTGTATAATTTATGATTAAAATAATTTACAAAATGTTACATCTTTCATCCATGTACATGTACGGTACGTATGTACAGTGACTGTGGAGTGTGGGTGCCTTTGCTGTTGTATCATGCTCTGCGCACTTACACGTACCGTACATGTAGTTTTTCTCTTTCATGCTACATGTACATTGATACAATGTATACATTGTACATGTGCAAAACATTTTTTTGTCACCGAATTATCTTAAATTAATTAACGTACAGTGGTACGTGAAAAAAAATTGATGCACCGTCATGGTCCATTTATTATACATGTACGGGTACATACATGTACGGTTTATTTCTACGTATAGTAGCCTTTGCGTAGTGATCCCACACACAGTTTGGGCAGTACCAAACACACACATGGTGAAGCGTTCAGCAGCAAGGCCTTTGCAGTGTCGTGACTGTCGTCATCTCCCCCAGTATTGTTTTGGATACCGGGTTCGAAGCCCACCAACCAGCCACAACGGGGTCGGATCGGCCATCCAGGCAGCCGCGGGCAACCTTGAACCAGATTTGGGGTCTAAAAATAGCTCCAGTGAACAAGAAATTCAACTACGATCACTGGCGGATGACTCAGTCATCGGGCTGTATATAGCGTAATGCCTGACAGTTGTCGTGAACAACATGTGTTTACATTTTGTGCACTGCGCATTTGCGTAGCCCTGGAAATCCGCAATGGACATTACCAGTATGTACAAGTACATTGTACAATGTATCTATGAATAAAATTCAAATCAGTGTGATTGGGCTTATTACATTTTGATTAAATTCACAATTGAGGGCCACTCTTAAATAATGAGCAGTTTTGAAAACCACTTGCCTGGTGTACATGTAGTTCAAGTGGGATCTACCCGATGTTCCCCAGTACCGATGTTCCCCACTACCGATGTTCCCCCAAATCCTTAGGATTAGGGTTAGGTTAGGGTTAGGGCTAGAGTTAGGGTTAGGGTATATTGGTAGGGATTTCGGGGAACATCGGTATTGGGAAACATTGGTATTGGGGAACATAGGTATGCACCCGTTCAAGTTCAATGTAGGCCTACTACATGTATCGTACTGTGAATTGAGGACAACATTCATTGTTGGGACACTTTGTTCAGCTGCTTAGTTTTTTTATTCTACAGGGTGAGTAAAAAAAAGCGGAACCCAAACCCCCAAAATAATGTTTCATATTTAAAACAACAAATAATGACGACTGGAAAGACAATTTGATTTAAGCTATGTTAGATGAAAAAGTTACTGAAACTGGTCAATCTGTTCAAAGGACATCACCATTTAAATGCGATATCAAGAATCGTCGTCACAATTGTCTTCAAACAGTTAATCGTTAAAAATATTCCACAAAGTCCTTTTGCGGGCCTCAGTCTTTTTAAAAGAGTAGATTTTA